GTGGGGATTTGCTGCAGACTTTGGTGGTGCTTATGCTGCACTCAAACAGAGCAAAGAATGCCCAGCCCTGGAAAGAGGGGTCTGCTCCAGGAAAGGGATCTGCTCTGAGAAAGATGGATCTGCTCCAGGAAGCTCAGAGAAGTATATGGAGGGTAAAAGATAGCCCAGAACAGCCATAAGGCAGTATCCCAGCAACCTGGACATGGCTTTGAAACTGTCCCTGAGCCATCGGGTGCGATGGATCAGTCACTCCAGCACGACCACCTCCAGGGACACCTGGATCTGGGAACAGGCGAGAGCTGCTTTGCAGGGTCTGAAGGGTTGGCAGTGGGTACTGGGGATCAATCATCTTGTACCTGAACAATCAAAAGGTGTAAGAACCTCATTCTAGTGACAGGATCTGGGGGAATGACTCAAGCTCTGTCACTGTCAGGGAAGGTTTAGTTTGATATCAGAAAAAGGTTCTTCCTCCAGAGAGTGCTGGGGCACTGAACGGCTCCTCAAGGAATGCTCATAGCCTCAGGGCTGCCAGAGCTCCAGCAGCATTGTTAAATGCTCTCAGGCACAAGGTGGGATTATGGGGGGGGGGGTCTGTGCAGGGCCAGGAGTTGGACTTGATGATCCCTGTAGGTCCCTTCCAACTCAGGATATTCCATAATTCTACAATACTTGAACCTGTGGAAAGGCACATTCAGGAGCCCCAGTTTGGCAGGGATACAGGAGCAAACATTTACCTTGGTGGTGGTGTTTTATTCCCTGACTTCTGATTGGCATAGGCTGGTTGTGCATTTCGGTGACAGGCCCAAGGAGTGGGTCCCTGGTGACCCTTTGCAGTTTGCAGGAGCCACTGCTGGGCTGTGTGCAGAGTGGCTGAGCCCTTCAGGTTCCTTGCTCCCCTCGGCCCATGGCCCTGGGCATTGTCCCTCCCTAGCAGACTGGGCACACAGTCCCCCATGCCAGCTCACAGCCCTGGGCAGCTGGAAAGACCAGGACTGTCTTGCTGCCTGCACAAAGGTCCTCAGCTGCTTTTTGTGCTCCCATTTCCCTCTTCAGCAGCCTTTCACCATGGCTGCCTGCTCGGCTCTGGCTGTGCTGTTCTCTCAGAGAGGGTCCCTGTGTCAGCCAGCAACCAGCCCATCCACCTCAAACTCTCTTTGGAAGGATGGGCCACAAAGACCCTGAACACTCACTGTTCACCCTCTTCCGGCATACAGACTTTTCCCGTGGGGACATCCTGGCCGGTAAGCTGTGTTTCAGTGTGGTAGACTGGGGATGGGGATACTGAGGTTAAGGCTGACATTTTATGCCCTTAGAGGAAAGGACCCTCCTGTACTGATGGAGTTTGTTGTGCAGCACCACAGTTTCCACAAGAGGACAACTCTGCCACAGCCTTAACTGAGATAAGCTGAGAGAGGTGGGACTGTTCAGTCTGGAAAAGAGAAAGTTTCAGTATCTGAAGGGGGCTACGAGGAAGCTCAGGAACTGAACTTTTCATCAGGAACTGGATAGATGTCGAGGCTTGGCTGCAGAAGAAAGGACACAGGCTTCTTCAGGGGGTGCATAACCCAGGCCTGAAGCTAGCAGATAGTCCTTGAATTGCCCTTGGACCACGAGATAAGAGGAAGTCGGCTGGTTGCACCATGATAGCAGGATGTACCAGCAGGATGTCTGTAAACTGCAAGGCAGAAATATTGCAGAAATAAGCAGGAGCATGAGCAGCTGGTTTGTACCAATCGTAGCACTAGTTAGGGTGCCTGAACAGCCACTTGTAACCAATAATATGTAAACTTAAGCTGCGTGAACAGCCGGCAATGGTATATAAGAGCATGCCAATTAGCAATAAAGAGAACAAGATGTATACCTCATATTGAGCCACTTCTTGATTCCAGACCCCCTTTTCCCTACAGATAGATCAAGAAGAAATGCATTCAAACTGAAAAAGAGGAAATTTAAGTTAGATAAATGGAAGAGATTTTTCCCTGTGAGGGTGAAAAGGCCTTGGTACAGGTTGCCCAGAGAAGCTGGGGCTGGCCTATCCCTGGAAGTGTCCAAGGCCAGGTTGACGGGAGCTTGAAGCAGCCTGGTCTAGTGAAAGATGTCCCTGCCCATGAAAGGGGGGTGGAATGAGATTATCTTTAAGGTCCCTTCCAAGCCAAAGCATACCATGATTCTATCTATGCCTGTGCATCTGTGGGGTGCATTGGGCAAGACTCTGAGGTGCGCTCTGTCCTCACGGGCCAGCACAATGCTGGGTGCCAGCGGACTGCATGCACTTGGCAGCACTCGGGGCACAGGAGCTGCCCCTCCAGCACCCTGGGGAGGGACAGCATGCTAGGCTGACAGGACAAGTGCCCACACTGCAGCATCAGTGGCTCCTTGAACACCCCCAGGCAGATGGGACAGAGCAGCTGCTCCTCCAGCTTGTCAATGCTCATCTTAGCCATCCTGCCACCTTCCCACACAGATCTGGGCTGGGAAACACTGGTGGGAGATCAGTCCTGTTCTAAGAACAAGATCAGCAGCACAGACAGTTGCAAACCCATCCTCAAAACTCCAAACAAAGTCTCAGATGGTGATTTTAACCCATAATGATTTTGTGGCTACACCTGGCCCACACCTGGCCATGTGTTCTGGGTCTGCCCAAGGTGTCAGCAGTCACCTCTAAGCTGTTCCCACCTTGGCCCGGGCAGGGATGTCAGACTGCAGTGGAGTCCTGCCTATGTGCCAGGGCTCAGACACAGGCAGGAGAGATTTTCCGCTAAAAAATCCCAGTCTTGACCCTGTATGAATTCCCACAGATCTCTTTGGGGTTATCTCAGCCCATGGACATCCTCAGAAAGACTGGCATCACTCAAGTGATACATCTAAGAAGCAGAAGGAAAACATGAAAAGCACGTTTATCTTGGAGACAGGGGGCTGGATTTGGGAAGCTGAGGCACAGCTCATCCCCTTGAAACTTGTTTCCATGTTCTGTGCTCTGCCCCAAAAGATGTGAGCTGAAATCCCAGCCTCTCCCATCAGCCCCAGGGAGCACAGGGCAGTGTGTTTCCAAGCTGTAAGGCTCACAGCACTGCCTTTCCTGCTGTTTGCAGTTGGGACAGAACTGCCAGACTCCTGGGCAAGTCAAACATGTGGCCTTGAAACTGAAGAAAATTAACTTGAAGTCAGGAACTTGATTGCTTCCCCAGGGAAAGGGGAGGCTGTGACCTGAGCTGGGCTGGTGTCACCATTGCTGTGGGTTGAACCAAGGGAAGCTCAAGTGTCCACGAGATATCCCAGGAGCACAAGCAGAGGGACCAGCCTCAGGTGCTCACAGAGAAGTACCTCCCAGAGACCCAAATGATACCCAAGCACTGAGGTGGCCTGCAGGGGTTTCTCCAGCTCCACTTCTCCCGGGACATGGACCCGAGTGACTGTCCTTGACTTCTCCTGGCCAAGCTGATGGGACCCTGTCAGACAAGGCAGCTCCTCCTCAGGATGGGGACTCCAATGGCTCCCTTCCTGCAGCCTCAGCCCCTTCAGGATGTTCCTGCTCCCAGGGAAAGCCGGGCAGGCTTTTGTCCCCCTGTCCTGTCCCTGCCTGCAGCCGGGCATGGGCACACGCAGCACCAAGAGCAGAGCGGCCATGTTTGCCTCCCACGGCAGCCAGGCTCTCCAAGTCCCTGTGGGGCTTCCTATCCCCACTGCAACAGAGAGAATCTTCTCAACAAAGCACATTGTTATCAGCTAAGTTTAAGATAACTTGACTTTAAGATATTGTTATCAACTAGGTTAACTTTGCTATTAATTACAATTTCTTTTCTTTTTTTTTTTTTTTTTTTGTTAAACCGGTGGGCTTTTTGTGATGAGGTGAAAACCTGTCATGCTTTTGGAAAAAAACAGAAGTAAACCAAACAGTGCTCTAACTGTGTAGTGCAAGGCACAAGGAATTATTTTGTCTGATTGTGAAAAAATATAGCTCCTCATATAACTATATAACCCTCAATAACTCCGGGTTTATCGATGTGTTTGGCTTATGAGCATCCCTCATACAAATCCCATAATGATCCCATCCCCTGGCTTCCCTCTTACCATCTCCTGGGGAGCTGGGGATGGTCCTGGCTTCTCCTTGAGGAATGTCCAATTTTGGGCATGTGGTGGTGGAAGGATCACCCTGGGGCTGTCAGCCAGCCTTACACTGAAGGTCTTTGAGACACAGCAAAGCAGAGGATGAAGCACTTTCTCTCCAAAAGGGGACTGGGAACAGGTTGTGGGGACCTCCCTCCCTCCCACCTTCTGTGAAGAAAAAACTTGGGTTTATGTTCTTTTGTAGTGATCTCAAAAATTCTCAAGAATGTGTGCTTATTTCTGCAACCATTTTGCATTCTCATTAGTTTTGCATTTATACCATTTCAAGTGCCTGAAGAAGGCCAAACTTACCAACTTGTTCCAAACCAGTTGGATTTTTTGCCTGTGGTAGTTTTTGGGTGTTTGTTTGTTTGTTGTTTTGGTTTGGTTTTTGTTTGGTTGGTTTGGGGCTTTTGGGGTGGTTTGTTTTTGTTTTGTTTTGGTTTGGTTTTTTGTTTTGGTTAGTTGGTTGGTTGGTTGGGTGGGTGGATGGGTGTGTGGGTGGATGGGTGGTGGTGGGGGTGGTTTTGGTTTTGTTTTCCCTTTGGTTTGGATTTTTGTTTGATTGGGTTGTGGTTTGGGTTTTGGGGGTTTTTTGCTTGTTTTTTTTTTTTTTGTATAGTTGTTTGGTTGGGTTTTTTGATCGGCTGTTTTTGTGGGGTTTGGTTTTGGGGTCTTGAGTTTTGGGTTGGTTTGGGGTTTTTGTTCTAAAGAAATGAGGAAGGCAGTGCACACGGCGGACTACATCCCCCAGCGTGCACCGCGGCGCTCCGTGACGTTCCGCCTTCCGTTGGTGCTGCGCAGCCGCGTGTCCATTCCCGCGTGGTCTAAAGCCGCGCGTTGGGCCGGCGCTGCTGCTTGGAGCGTGATTGGTTAGAGGCGCCGAGGCCATGATGGCGGGTGGCGCCGGCCGGGAGGGCCTCGGGGCCGGGGGGCGAGACCCGAACCCGAACCCGGACCCGGACCCGGCTTCGACTCCGACGTGGGCTCTGGCGCCGATCCCAGCACCGATCCCGGCCTCGACACCCTCTTTATCTCTGGCCTCGGAGTCTCTGCAACCCCTGCAGGACCTGACCGGCGATGGAGGGGTGCGCAAGGAGCAGCTCCGCCCCGGCAGCGGGCAGCCCGTGCCCCCATCCGCCTCCGTGGCAGGTAGAGCCGGGTCTGGGGTCTCCGGAGCCTCCTGTGGGCCCTGAGAGGTCCCGTGGCCAGGGCCGGGCACCCCTATTGGGGATGTCCCAACTCTCTGGCACAGGTTGCCCAAGGAAGCTGTGGTTGCCCCATTCCTGCAAATGTTAAAGGCCATGCTGAAGCAACCTGCTCTACTTGGAGGTGTCCCTGCTCATGGGCAGGAGGTTGGACTGGATGATCTTCAACGTTCTTTCCAACCCAAACTATTCCACGATTCTTGCAGTCTCTCCAGGGCTGGTGCCTGGAGTGAGGCTGCCTGTGCTCGGCCTGACTGCCCGGGGAGGTTCAGGGTGCTCTGCAGTAATGTTGTGCCTGAATTCACTGGTAGTGAATTCAGGCACAACAGTAGTTCAGGCACCAGTAACCATCTCCTGAGCAGCTTTTAAATAGGAATTGTTTCCTTTAGCCTGTGTTCAGCAGGACTAAGAACGTGAAAATCCGTGGAAGTGTGGGCTAGAGTGAGGATCTGGTGCTCATCTCTGTCACCTGTGTCTCTGTGTGAGGTTTGGTCTGTGTGGCTGGACCTGAAGCGGGTGCTGAGGGAAACAGGGCAGAGCCTGTGGGGAAAGATCCCCCAAGGCGCTAATGTTGACATGCCAGTGGCTGGCAAAAACCATAACAAGGACTTAAGAGTGCTGATATTGTACTATGGTGTGTCTCTGTTTCAGAAGCTGTCTCCTCTCCTTATCAGTGTTTTAACAGTTGGGATACCCTGTTTAGCTTCTTGTGGCTGACACACTAAATGAAAAGGCATCTTGACCTTGAGGAATGAAGGATTTCTAGGGCCTACCTGTGCTCACAGAGAAGTTTGAAGTTGGAAGCAGTTCCTGAAGTGCAGGGCCCTGGTGCTGTGTCAAGAGAGGCCCATTACAATGTATTTTCTGAGGCAGAACTGGAGTTACAGATGCAGAGCTTGGGGTAGCAGTACATTTTCCCCCTTGTTCCTCTTTCCAGAGCTCCAGCTTTGGTTAGGGAATTATTTTAAAATATTTCTGCATATAACTGGATCATTTTAATTTGCTCGGCTGAAGTTTCCAATTCTTAAAAGTGCAAAATCACATCTCTTAAATAGATCAGGACTGTGAAGCAGCTGCTTTGTCTGGGAATTATGCTAAAACACACAGCAGTTGACTGCTTGGATGTGACCAGGTTTTTGGTGTAAAACAGAAGGGGTTTTGCTGCCTCTGCTGTTCTATAGCAGAACGGAAAAGGAGAAGCAGGATAACTGGGTGGTTACAACTCTTGGTGTGCTCCTGATGTTGCTGTGATGGGATATGAAATCAACCTCTTGCTTTTCCTTTCTACCCACTACTCGCTTTGGCTGTACAGTGAAGTACTCTGGGTACCTAGGAAATTGGAATAAGCTCTTCTGTTCAAATGGGAACAGCAAGTATCCAAGGCTGATGAAACTTGGAAAAGGTAGGTTTGAGCCACAAACTTTGTTCTGGGGCTTGGGATTGTATTAAGGCATTTTGGGCCCTGGGGTTGTATTAAGGCATTTCAGTTTAAATGCTGTTTGGTGTCTTTAGGTTGTTTGAAGCCTTTAACACTTGTTTATGGAGTCCAAAATCCTCCTGGTTCACGTGGGAGATGGAATCTGGACCTGCTCACCCTCTGCCTGGGAATGGTAGGGAGGTGTTTCCCACCTGCCCTCAGGTAGTTTTAAATCTCTTGAGAGGAGATGATTTCCAGGCTGGACAGGCCTTTTAGCATGCTGGTCTACTGAAAGGTGTGCTTGACTGTGGCAGGGCTTGGACTGGATGCTTGGCTTGGACTAAAGCCCCTTCCAATTCCCACTCTGGATTTGCAATGTCATGTGCTCAATCCCACAGCAGCAGTACCCCTGATAATCCTTTCTGGAGCAACTGGCTGTTGTAGTTGCTGAGACAGGAGCTCCCAGGGATTTTTTTTTCCATCAGGCTTAAGGAGAAGTCATTGTTTGGTGTGTGAGGGTGTTGATGTTCGTGAACTTCACATGTCCCACCCCTCGTTGTGACAGACATCACCCTGTGGGGGCTGGAGATCGGGCTGCTGTCCATGACCAAAGGAGAGGCTGCACTGTTCGTCCTCACTCCGGAATACGCCTATGGCCAGCGGGGCTGTCCTCCCTCCATCCCCCCAAACACCACGGTCCTCTTCAAGGTGGAGGTGTTGGACTTCATAGACTCAGAGGAGTGCGACACCTTCTTTGAGTTGACTTGCGTGAGTTCTTTTAATAAGGCTTGAGACCGGAATCTGGGGGGGGAACCATCATTGTCCTGTCTCACAGTTGCTGTGGCTTGTGTGTTACATGTGTTCATGTGAATGCTGGTGCAAGTATCTAGTCCCTGGGCTCCCAGCTCTGCTCTGATCCACATGCCTGCCTTTTGTGTCCCTCCATGTCTTTCTCTGTTTGCCCTCCCATGCAGAGGGAGAAGGCGGGATCTGCCTTTGTTTGCTCCTCTGTGCTGGAATGGCTCCCATTTATTTTTAGTTTTACCAGAAACCTCATGGTTGCACTAGAGGGCAGCAGCTTCCAGGAATTTCTTTAAGGAACAGTAAGGAGCTGACTGTTACAATCCTCTTCAGTCTGCAGTGTCCCAGTGCCCCACCAGCCCCCACCCTTTGTCTCTGCCTCCTGGCTCCTCTCCCAAGTGCTCCCTCTTTTTTCCTTCCTGGTGAGTTACAGTGCTATTGTTAATTAACCTTTCCATGTCAAGGGCTTTGGGCTGTGGTTGTGGGTCAGTGAGTGGAAGCAGAAGCTAATGGGGGAGCCCCTCCAGCCCCTGCACAGGTAAATTTTCCCCCAAAGCCCTGTGAGCAAACCAGACTTGTTGTGCTCCCTCCTTGCCCACCCATTTTGGCTGACTGACCCCTCTCTGTGAACCGGTTCCAACTTGCAGAACCAGAAGAAAACCTGTGCCTCCATTTTTTTTTTTTTTTTTTTTTTTTTTTTTTTTTTTTTTTTTTTTTTTTTTTTTTAATGATTATTGGGATTTTTGTTTTGCTGTTTGGTGTCTTTGGGAGTGTTAGGCTGTCCCAGAGCTGGCCTGAGAGCGATTAGAGCAATGGAATGTTTCGAGCAGCTTTGTGCCAGTGTCAGCATTTGTGTTAACTCAGCTGTGTGCTGAAGGAGTTGAGCAGGTTTTAAGAACACATTCCTGCTTTTTTTTCAGTTCCCCTTTAGGCCTGAGGAGCTTCCTGACCTCTTTAGTGGAATAATCAGCACAAGGACACTGTAATGTTTCAGCCTGGCTGGGGAGATACCACGTGGTGGTGGCCTGGCCTTGGTAAGGACCTGGCTTCTGCTCTGTGAATAGGAAGGAGCTGTTCAGGACTGTCCTGTGAGTTCTCTGCCTGTTTTCTTTAGTTTGAGCTGAAATTCAGATATTTCTTCACACAGGAACAGCGGGATAGACTTCCTCTAGAAAAGGTGTTGAAAGTGGCAGCGACAGAGAGAGAGTTTGGCAACTACTTCTTCTATAAGCAGCGCTTCAAGATTGCCAAGGACAGATACAAGAGGGTATGGCACCAGGAAGATGCGGGGTGTGCTTTGGGAAAGCTTTGGAAGAAGGGATTATTTTAGCTCACCACAACAGGTACAGGCTAGAGATCAAATAACTTTATGGTATTTTTCCAGGCATAGTTTGTTACTTCAGAACAAGGCTTGCACACCTGGTTTTGTGTGAGCAGCAGTGGTAAGTTAAGGAATAGTCACAGAATCATTTTGGCTGGAAAAGTTCTCTGAGACAACAAGTCCAACTGTTTCCCAGTGCTGCCAAGGCCACCACTAATCTATGTCCACAAGTGCCGCATCCACAGGGCTGTTAAATCCCTCCAGGGATAGGGATTCCACCACTGCCCTGAATAGCCTCTGTGCAAAGGCTGGACAACACTTTCAGTGGGAAATTTTCCCCAGTATCCATCCTCCTGTGCTGCAACTTGAGGCTGTTTGTCTTGTCCAGCTATCTGGGGGCAGAGCTTGACCCCCATCTGGCTGCACCTTCTTGTCCAGGAATTGTAGAGAGTGAGAAGGTGATCCCCCCTAACCTTTTTCCTAGTCTGAGCCTCTCTAGCTCCCTCTCCTGGCAGGGTAAACGCTCAGTTATTCTCAAACTGGAAGGCATCTGCTACTTTTTCAGAGGTAGAGATGATTCAAAGTTGCTTTTGCTTGGATTTTTGAAACAAAAGTAATTTGACTTGCCTTCTCCCCTGTAAAATATCCATATTAAGTCTGAGTCCTGGGTCCTTTTTTTTTTTTATTCTTCTGCTTTCCATGGTAAGTTTCTAAACCTGTGGTCATATGGTCAGCATGACTAGTCATGCTGAGAATACCATGCCCTGTATTTAGAGTTTTGATTGTTAATACTTTTTAGTGACCTAGGTGAACAGAAATACAGGTGTAGCTGCTGAACGAGACGGATTTCTCACTTTCCATGATGGATTTGTTGTGCACTGGCTGGTTTTCCCTCTCTGCTCAGGCACTCTCCATCCTGGGTCGCAGCTCTTCCAGTAAGACAGAGCAGAGCCAGATCAACGCTTCCAAACTGCTGCTGTTCCTGAATCTCTCACTCACTTACCTGAAACTGGAACGTGCTGACCGAGCTTTGAAATACGGGGAGTTGGCCTTGGAGATGGACCAAGGAAATGCCAAAGCGCTCTTCAGGTGTGGCCAGGTGGGCAAATAAATCATTATGGAACATCCTGGCCTGGTTGTCGAGGGAGCCCAGAATGAACTGAATCTCTGAATTCTGGGCTGCTGCAGTAGTCAAGGTGGTTTGTCTGCATCTGCCCTTTTGGAAAGTCTGGCTCTCTGGAAATGTGTCACATGAGCTTTTCCTGGAATGTTCCTGAATTACTCTTCTCTGTCGCAGGAAAGTTTGTTTTGGCACGAGGCCCGAAGAAGGGCAGCAGGTCTGTATTTATCTTGTGATGCATCTAACTTCTTTCCATGATAGGCTTGCCTCTACATGAGGGAGTACAGCAAATCCCGGGATTTCCTGGCCAGAGCTCAGTGCATCCAACCCTTCAACCGTGATATCAACAATGAGCTGAAGAAGTTAGCAAGGTGAGAGCCCTCCTTTCTATACCTGGGGAAGAGAGAGAGTGTTTGGACAGGCTGTAATACCCATTCCAAAATATTTAAAATATTAAAAAAAACCCCAAACTATTGGGTTAATGAGTGACTTGGGAAAATGCATGTGGAGAAAACAGCTTGAAACATTTTTCTGGCCCAGAAGCTGCAAGTGAGGAGCTCAGAGCACCATGTATTTCTTTGGTGGGATGTATGTTTCCTGACTTGTGAGCAGATCAGGGTGAGGACAGGGATGTGGGAGCTACTAAAATACCTCAAATCCAGTGAAATATGATGAGACTGATGATCCAGCTGGTAATGTTCTCAATAAGTATGATTTTCATTCCCTTTAAGATGTGTTGGTTATTTTCAGCAAGCTGCATGTGCTTCAGTGCACAATACTAATATTCATTGAAAGTGAATTTCTTGCCATCTTGGAGATAATAAATGAACAGCCCTGAAGATGAACTCTCCCTTTCCCTTTCCCCACAGGCTGAGTTAAGGACTATCCTGCCAGCTTTTAGTCATGTCCCCACCCCACCAAAACATGACTAATGCTTGTCTATGGCCTCATGATGCTCTTCCTTTGAAACTGCCAAAAGCATTAGGTTTTTCCCAAAAGTGTGTGCTGTCCTCCTGGCACTGTTTACTGAGGCAGGAGCAATGCTGTCCTCAGCTCTGGAGCTCACAAAGCAGCCTTTGAATATGAACCCTCTTCTGTATGTCAGTGCGAGGCACTTGCAGAAAGGCAGCAGTAACACCTAAAAAGAGTGATTGGTGCTGCTGGAAATGCCAGTCTGGCAGAGTGCCTTTTGCCAGGGGATATGTTGGTGGAGGGCTGTTCTGTCCTGTGTATTCATGTTGTCTTTAAATAGTCTGTCATAACACTGAGTCTGCAAATGTGTTCTGTTACTTCCAAAGCACAAAGAGCTTGAAGGTGGTAGTATTAGCTGCTGGTCTGGAAATTTTAAATTAATCTCTTATTTTTATCCTGATCTCCCACTGGGTATGGAGCTACCAAATTGTCCACTGAGAGTGGGGAGTTCTAAACTAGATCTGGCTGGCTGCTCTTGGAGGCTAGTATATGTATAATGCTAGAAGCCTGATTCTAGAAGCCTCATGTATTCACTTAGATTTGTTTGAAATATTTTGGTAGATAAAAGGGAAATTTTGCTAATGGTGTTTAGGTGGTGTGGCTGGAAAGCAACAAGACATTTCTGCCTTTGTCAGCTCCAGCTCTGTAGAGAGCAGCATGTTCAGTGAGTGTGCATGTGTCAGAATTGAGTGCACCTTAAACCACTCTTGTCCCGGAGTTCCTGCTTTGCTGCCTGTTAAAACTGGTGTACTTTTTGCTTTTAACCATGCAATGGTTTGGGTTGGAAGGGACCCTAAAGCTCATTCCACTGTCATGGGCAAAGACTCTTTTCACCATACCAGGGTGCTCTAAGCCCTGTCCAACCTGGCATTTAACACTTCAGGGATGGGGTGGCCACAGCTTTTCTGTACAACCTGTGCCAGGGCCTCCCCACTCTCACAAGGAAGAATTTCTTCCCAGTATCCCATCTAACCTTGCTCTCTGGCAGCAGGAAGCCATTCCCTCTTCTCCTTGTCCAAAGTCCATCTCCAGCTCTCCTGGAGCCCCTTTAGGCAAAGGAAGGTATTCTGAGGTCTTTCTGGAATTCTTTCCAGGTAAACACCTTTGCTCTTCCAGCCTGTCTTCAGAGCAGAGGGGCTCCAGCCTTTGGAGCATCTCCATGGCCTCCTCTGGACTTGCTCCAGCAGCTGTATGTGTTTCCGATGCTGGAGGCAGCACTGCAGGAGAGGTCTTTTGCCTGTGACAAAGAGTGGAATTAGTGTGAAACAGATGAAGCAAGTGCTACTGGGTGTTGGTAATGAGGTCTTACCTCTGGCTAGATATGTAATGTTGCCAGCCTGCCCTTGCCTGAGAACTTGTAGTGTGATCTGACAAATGCTTCAGAAATGGAATATGAATCAAAATCTTGTTTTTAGTGGCTTTTCACTTCCTTACTGAGTACATTTGTACTTTGTTAAATGCAATGTTGTGTGGTAATCAGCAAGCTCCCTTTTGCTGTCTAAACCAAAGCTTTGGAATGCATCTGTTTACTGGCTGAAACAGATTCTTGCCAAAATCTCCTGGAGAACAACAGGCGGAATCCAAGGTGAGAGGTATGTAGAATGTGGCTGGTACCAGCTGTGGTGGATTTGGTGCAAATTCTGCTGCTGAATCTAGGAATTCTATTGGAAGGCTTGCATTACATCAAAACCAGAATGAATTTAGGTTCTTCCAATATCTGGTATTAATCTGTTCCTCCAAACAAGGGCTCTTGGATTTCCTGCTGTCATAGGTGTGGGAATGTGCCAGCTACGGGTGGGCATCCTTGGTCAGCAACTTCTGTGTGAGACTTACCAGGAGAGATATGTTGTGCTGGGATTTCGTACCCTCTGAGGTTCCAGGCCCCAAGGGTGCCGAGGGCTGGGGCTGAGGGAACCTGAGCCAGCCTCTCACTGGGGCTGGTTCTAGTGTGTTGCACAAAACCCTTCGCTTTTGGCCTTATATGGCAGCAGATGCAGGAAAGCCAAACTCATGGGCAGCCACTGATCCTGGGAACAGTGTTCCCAAACTGACTCAGCCTGCAGCTCAGGGATTCCTTACCAGTGAGGTGAGAGCATAGAGAGCAGAGGATACTGTGCTTGGGAAAGTTCAAGTGGAGCAGGCTGCAAAGCTTTTGCCATCCTGTCCACTGGCAAGGAAGAGAGAGCAGAGGAAGATACATCTGCTTGTCATCCACTTAGTCCAGACACAAATCCCCGCTGTCTCCTTCCCATCCTCTGCCCAGATCCTATATCTGTGGTAGATATCCTGCTGTATGGTAGTTGGACAGTGTCTCCTGGGTGCTAAAAGAACTTGCATAAGGACTCACAAAAGTATCCTACAGCACACAGGTGGGGTTCCTCTGCACTGTCCCGTGTTTCCAGAACTAGTGTAGGGAGCACCTGTCTAAGGAGGCAAATGATCTAATTAGTCCCGAGCAGAGCAGAGATCCAAGGTCTGGGGATGAGACGTGACATTTCCAGCTCTCTTTCCCTGACATTGCAGAAAGAAGGGCTTGGAGGAGCTGTGTCTGTGCTGCCAGCACAATTTTCCATTATGTTAATTTATTTATATCCAGAAAATAACATTATTTTCAGGTTGTGACACTGAGGGTGGCACAGACAATCTCCAGCCCCTGACGCCATCCTGTACTCTACTTTGCAGATACTACAAGGAGTACATGAAAATGGAGAAAGAAATGTGCTGCCAGATGTTTGACCCTCTCAATTCTTATGGCTGAGAAGAAATCAAGGTAACCAGGTTTTGAAAAGGGCTGAACTCTCCCAAAACATGTCATGCCTGTAGTGTTCTCAGGTGGGAAACTTGCTTCTCTTCTGTGGGGTAGGCTTTTGGAGGCAAAATGGAAAGTGGTGGGAGTGTGTGGAGAGGAAGGGCAGGATGGTGGGGTGGAATACTGCTACATCATCATGTTGAAGAATCTTTCTTGTGAGGCAAAGCATGTGTGGGACAGGGACCTGGAACTGGCGGCAGTTGAGTAAGTTTGGTTTGTTGTTTCCTGTGCTGCTCATCCCAGCTCATTCCTGGTCAGAGCCAGGGGCTGAAATAGCTCTACTTGTAGAGCTATTTCAGCCCCTGTAGTCTTGTTCCTCTGCCAGTTAAAAGAAAAGGAAAAAAAAAGAAAAGTTCCTGTCAAACTTAAGAATTGGATTTCCTCCTCCTCTCCAGCACTTCTGTCTGGAGCTGTTGGAATGCCTCACTTCAGAAGAATCTAAATATTTTATTTCTGGGGGTTTTTAAGTATTAAAAGAGGTCTGTTTGGATAGAAAACTTCAAGTAAATGTTTTGGACTCTTTAAAGCCTTAAATCTTCTAGCAAAATTGACAGGTTTATAAATGCACAAAGGCTCTTTGATCCATCTTTTTTTCCTCAAAATCTTCAGCGGGGGTGCAAGCAAGAGCAGAAATCTTTTCTGGTCTCTTGCTTTGGGGGAAACCCTAGGGAAAGAATTCTGGAAAATGACAAAATCCTTCTGTCATGAACCATCCCGAGCTCAGGGCCATCAGTTTGCTGCTGTTGTCTCTCCTGCAATGCAGACAGTACCTCTTTGCTAGCAGAAAATGAATATTGGCAGCCTTTCCATCAGCTCTGGTGTTTTATGGTTGTCTCTTTGTTCTTGTGAGGAAGCTAAGGCAGTGTTTGAGGAAGAGGTTGGATTGAATGCTCCTTCCTAAAGGAACACAACCTTCTCCTGACTGGACATGATTCCTTATCTCTTTGGACATCTGGACATCGTCTGGACATCTCCTTGCCTTTACTCTTCCTGCTGCTCCTTGCTCTGGTCCAAGCTGGGCATGTGACCTCAGAGCACAAGTCATCCTGCCCTGGGTTTGGGATGAGACTTTAGTAAGTGTGTTAGCAGGTGCCTGCCCCCCAGAGAGGAGCTCTGAAAGGGGTTGTAAGACTGATGAGGTCTTGTGCAGAAAGTCTGTGGCTCTAGAGTTGGCAAGAGGCCCTGATTTTCTACTTGCTGTGTTTGAGGAAATTGCAGTTTGGAAGCATATAGGATCTTGGGTCTCATCCCTGGTGGTGTCTGACCTGGGAAGCTCTTGTGGGGGTCTGGGATTACCTGGGCGTGGTTTGTGGTAGGAGTCAGGGTGATTGTGGTGATCTGCTGGATCACCAGACAGGTCGTCCCCAGGAAGGTTGTGTGGCTTCTCATTTCCCACAAAGCATCGTGTGAAGATGCTGATTTCCACACATCTGCTGTAAGTAAAACCAGTGATTTTGGTTAGAGGAGACTGAGAAGTACAAAAGAAAAGGGCGAACTCTCTCCTGTAGGCAAGCTTAAGTGCTGGGCTGAACTGCTTATCAGCCAATTTATCCACTGACTTCTGTGTATGGAGTTCACCCACCTTACACAGCTGATGGGTAGCTGTCAGTCAAAAATATTTCCAGGCTTCCTTGAAGTTGATTTTTGTTGTAGTATTAAAAGGAAACTAAGTCTCCCAGATGAACATAAGTCACTGAGACCCAAACAAAAATCTACTGTTCATTCATGGCAAAAGAAGTCCTTTGCTGGAGGAAGTTCCTGCAGGGCCTTGTGTGAGCTGAAGGTTGTGCTGCTGCTTTAAAACTTCATTATACATTCAGTGAAGAGCAAAGCCGTTCCAGCAGGAGCTCCTCCTCCCTATCAAAGACACTGGGAATTGGTCAGAATTGAGGCAGAACATTCTTTAGTGTTTTCCAACAGCTTTGTACCAGTTAAGTTTAGAGTACAGGCTGTACTGGGACAGTTTGGCAGGCCAGCTTCATCCATTCTCTTAGACACTGAGTGAGGAGATGGGCTGGAAATGCTGTCTGCAGTCCATGGTTAATGGACCAGTGGAATCACAAAAGTTATACAAAATCTCCCTATATACCAGCTGACAGATGTTTGTAAAGCACTGAGCTGACCTGTGGTCCAGCCTCCTGAATGGCTCAGAGCTGTAGTTGTAGTATCTCTTCCCTCCTGAACATTGCTGCAGCCATCCCTTGCTTCACAGCTCTTTCCAAGCTGAGACTGCTGTGCCTTTGCTGAACCCTGCTGTGTTCCAGGAACAAAGTTCATTTCTCTGTACTAAATAATCCAGAGGTTTGTATAATTACACTCAAATCTGGGTTTGAGCATTGATGCTTAAACCCAGTTTGATGCACCTGAGCATCTTTCTTCTGCCTGATATTTTTGCAAGGGATTTTGTAATGATAGGACAGAGGAGAATGACTTTAAGCTTTAAGGACTTCAAGAGGGAAGATTCAGATTTGATATAGGGAGGAAATTCTTTCCTGTGAGGTTGGTGAGAGCCTGGCACAGGTTGCTCAGAGAAACTGGAGCTGTGCCATCTCTGGAAGTGTTCAAGGCCAGGCTGGATGTGGCTCTGAGTACCCTGGTCTAGTGGAAAGACTCCCTGTCCATGACAGGGAGTGAAACCAATGGGTTTTAAGGTCCTTTCCAACCCAGACTATTCCATGATTTCTGTAGCCCCTGCCAGCTGTAGAGCCCAGTTCTTCCAATTGCCACAAATATCTTCCTCAGAACACATTTCCTACCTTTTCAATGGAATTTTGGGTCAGAATAGATCTCCCTTTGGCTAAATGCAGGGCTGCTTGTGGTGCTTCTTGGGGGAATTCGGAAGTACTCAGAGGGAGACAAAAGCACAAACTCCTTTTTAAATCCATCCTGCTGCAGTTGCTTCTAAATCTCTTGGCCCTCAAGCTGGCCCCTCTGAGGGTTTGGTTTATTCACCTGTCTCTGTTCACTTTGTGTGGTGCAGGTATGTAGAGCCTAGTTTCCTGGGATGTGCAGAGCTTTAAGTCCTCCTTGGTGTTCCCTGAACTGCAGAATGGTGGGCTGAGGCCTCTGGCTTTTTGGAGCTTTTTATTATGTTTTGATTGAAAGACCTATCAGGAAAAAAAAAAAAAAAAAAGAACTTTCCCATTGTTTTGTTGCTGTGGACTCTCTCTCATAAGAGAACTAAATCATGAGGACTGGGGACAACTTCCCTAAGAATGTCTGGATTCTAGTAGAGGGTCCTTGGTGATAGTTCTGTCCCAGGAGGATGAGTCTCTGTGCTCTTATTTTTGGTTATAGGTGAGCCAGAGTTTTGAAAGCTTGTGTCTGATATGTATCTCAGCTCCCTATACAGGAGAAGTGGTCCCAGGAGTTGGGAACACACAGGGAGATGTGCCAGTGAAAACAAACAAGACTGAAATTATGACAGGAAACAGTAACTTTGCGGTCAAACTGGTGATTACCATGAATAGCAAGTTCTATCAATTCTGGAGGCATCAATTGGTGAGAACTGGCTGCAGAACTGAGGCTGTGTCACCAGGTAGAAGTGGCTATAATTGGGCTTAAAATCAGCAGCAGTTGCCAGTTGAATGAACTGACCTACTAAGCTGCAGGAGACTTGCAAATAAACTGAGAAGTCTGTGTATAACACAATCAAACTCCTGCCTTGGGAAAGCTCCAGACTTGGAGCAAGTTGCTGTTTATTCCTTTCCCTCCTGCTCTCTCTTATTCCGGAGCAGAGCTGAAATGTACCTCCTGCTGATTTTGTTCCTCCCCACTGCGGCTGAACAACAGAGAACCAGCGATTCACTGCTCCTTTAGAATATGCAAATTCCTGTCCCACTGAGGTGTCCTGTGCTGCAGAGGAAATTAGGTCTCTGCTTTCTGCTGAGCCTTGCCAGGTGAGGGGGAAGGCTTGAAGGAAGACTTAATTAAGCATTCTCCTTGTTAAGCAAAGGAAGGAGAAAGGTTCTAATGAGGTTGTTGAGTTCTGTTTTCCTTCCAGCTCTCTCCTCTTCTAGCATCTTGCACTTTTTTCTGAGGATTTCTGCAGTTCCTGCCTGCAGTAGTACCTGTGATACCTCTCTGGAAGGATCTTGGGCTCTGATCTCTTCTGGAAACTGAAGAAATTACTGTGGTGCCTGGTTTTAGGGATCCCTGTAGGGGACATACTGGACATAGGTCTGGATGCACTAGGGCTGGCTTTGCCTAGACTGGGAGGACTGGCCAGGACTTAGAAGCCACAAGGTGATGTGAAATGGAAAGGAAGAGACCTGTGCAATATCCCAGTGTCCTACTGTGCCTGTCCTTCTGTGGTGAAGTATTGTTCCCCAGCCTTATCCAAGGATGGGCCCTCCGCTGTTCTCTCTGATTTAGGAAGTGCCTAAAGCCTGTAATTTCCTTTTGTGCTCAAACACAATGCTCCCAGGTGGGGTAGGAGCAGATTCCTGGCTACAGTGCTGAAAGGAAACTTTGCTGACAAGAGACTGGGGCCAGGTGGGGTTGGGCTCTGCTCTCAGGTGATAAGTGACAGGACATGGGGAAACAGCCTCAAGTTGTACCAGATTTAGATTGGATATTTGGGGAAATTTCATGGAAAGGGTTGTAAAGCATTGGAATAGACTGCCCAGAGCAGTAGTGGAATCACCTTTCCTGTAAGTGTTCCAAAAATGCGTGGATGTGGGACTTCAGGACATGGTTTAGTGGTGAACGTGGTGGTGCTGGATTGATGGTTGGACTTGATCTTAGAGGGTTTATCCAACCTTCTGTGTTTCTGTTCTCCTCCAGCTCCTGCCTGTTAAAGGTCACCTGGCACTGGTCCTGGGAAGACCAGGCTGAGACCCCAAGGGATATCCCTGTGTGAGGTTTTACTTCTCAGAGCCTTTGCCAGCAGCTCTAATATAAAATATTGTGGTGTTACAAATCAGTAGAACATGAAAAAGGTGCTGGGCTCTTTCCATTCC